TACGCAGATCCGGAAGTCATTCCACTTGATCTAGCCTCCGGGGATCAACAAGCGCTAAGCTGAATCACAGGATCTGGCCAACAGGGTCTACATTTTTACGAGGAAAACCAGAGGAACGGCCGGTAGAAGTTAGCAAACCGTGTTCTAGACTTCTACCTGACACAACAGTTTTCATTACTGTATTCTACCGCGATTGTAGTTGGCTCGCCCGCTTCTCAGATTGCCCCAAGTGAGCGAAATTACCAAAAAACGTTGCACGGCTGAAACGATTTAAGGAGTATTTATGAAAGAAGTATGTTTTGAATAGGGGACAGGGTTGTGAGCACCTCACCGTGGCGAAGTTGTAAGGAGCAAAGCGAGACATTCTGGTGTTAGTGTAAAAGGAATCCTTCGTGGATGAACTGGGGTGGGTGCGCAATAAATCTAGGGAAACCGATTGCGTCCATCTCAGGGCAATTAGCAGTTCGTTGCGGAAGCTTTCTCCATTCAGAGACGAGGGAATGATCAGGGTGGGTGCGAGGCTGCAATTTGCTTCCATTCCTCATGACACCAAACGCCTCATTATTGTACCGCAAACTCATTTCGTGACTCGTCCGATCATCCAACTCGCACCTGAAGACAACGGTCACGTCGGTGCATCACAAACTTTCACCGCCTTTCGGGAAAATTACTGGATAATGAAGGCACAATGCACGATTAAATAAGTGATCAAATCCTGTTTTCATTACCGGTCGTGATGCTCCGTGCCTTCGTCAGATTGCGGCCCGTCCCTACTGATCGATCCACTTGAATCGTATAATCCACCATACACATTTTAGGAGATTATTTCGACCCTTTTGAAGTGAAACTAGGAAGAAGATCAGAAAGATAATATTGCTCGTTTTTATATCTCAGCATAAGGGCTGTGCACATCGCTAGGTTCCTCGCCCGACGAGGTTACCCGAGAAGGTTGTTTAGTGTTAATGGGTAAAACTTCAAGGGTACTCACCCTCGATCACTTCTTGCGGGGCATAACCATCCAAACATCCACAGCAGCGTCAGGTACCCCCAAGTAAATCGAATCGAAAATAGCAACAAGTTCAGAACATGTCCGATTTACTACGGAAGAAGTGTATCGGAGCATCCCTTTCACTCCTGAAGGAAAA